GGGGGGGGGGGGGGGGGGGGGAAGGAGACGCAGACGAAAAATTATGAAATATCCAAGGGTTCACGTCGAATCGAGATTACCTACGGCCGACAAAAAGAGACACCCGCGCGGAGGGAAGCTCCACTCCTGGAGGAAAATCCGCGCTCTCGACGTTGTAATCCCTCCGATTCCATTAAGGGGCACCGACTTCCGTCGGTTCCGGCGGCTCCTCTTGCCCGAACGAGCGGTATTGAGATATAGCGCGATTTATCAGACGGTACGCGTCGGTGCGTACCTTTTTTTCCTCCCGAGGCTTTCAACGGCGCGCAGCTTTTGTCCTTTTGAGTCTCCCCGGGTCTCCTCCCGGAACACCCGCCAAATCGTCCTAATAATTCAACGCCTCGTGTGTCTCGGCTGCGCCCATTATTCACTTAACCCCAACATTAGCGAGACACAGATTTTCGTGTTAATACGATTTTTCCGGACGATCTTTCAGCCAGTTTTCCATTCGTGCAGAATCAAGAAAAGGTCCCCCTTCCTCGGTGATGGAGAGAAGCCATATTTACTTCGCCGAGATTATGAGATAATTCTTACTTTTTGTGATCCCTCCGATTGGATTCAGCTTCAACTGACGTGTCATTTTTATTTTATGTTTCAGGTATGTACCACTGCGTATTGAGCGCTCCTTATACCTCACAAGAGCAGGAGTGACGTAAGTATAATTCAAGTCGGAACATCGCGAAACATTCTCTCCTTCCACGCGAATATTTTCGTTTGTGCAGAACAGAGTCGAGAAGTATTTAGAATCTCCTAGCCGCGAGCATTTCTGTAGCAATGCTATTCCAAATTACTTAATATACATCTCGATATATTCCACCTCTCTGTGCGTCTGATTATTAATTCTAACTTCAGTGAGTAATATTAAGTAATTCTCGAGCGAGGCTCTTGAGTTTTCTTGACGCGAGGCGAACGCGGTGAGTAAGTAAAAGTTGTCATTTTCTGCACGGGAAAAAAGGTTTGGTTGAATTAACCAAATATCTGGTCGAATATGAACGATCCAGAAATTCCGATTGAAGTAACCCGAATTCTGTTTAAGTTGATCAAAAATCTTATTAAACAGAATTCGGGTAACTTCAATCGGAATTTCTGGATCGTTCATATTCGACCAGATATTTGGTTAATTCAACCAAACCTTTTTTTCCGTGTGGTATCGCGAAAAGCAAAGGAGCAAACTTTATACATCTTTAGCTTCCCCGTTGCGGGGCCCTTCAAGCTTGACGAGACTTGCGTGGCTCAACGTCTAACTGGAATTTCGGATCCCGCGTTGTGACGGGACGACATCGTTGTCGTCGTCATCGCTACAGTCGATATCGCATTAACAATCGTCCCGTCCGAATGGGCCTTCATTCGGACACGCGTGCGACGTGACGGGCCGCCGGCGCGATAAATTCGCGTCGTCGATCGTCGACAGTTTGCACACTCGGCATCGCCGATAACGCCGCGGCGTGATTGACACACCAGGGAGGGCGAGGGTGGCAGAAGAGAGGGGAATGATAGAGCAGGTGGAGCGTCGGCGGATGAGTTATCGATTTCGCTCTCGATTGTGCAACCCCCTCGGTTTTGTGTTGCCGCCGCCGCCACCGCCTTCCTCTCTCTCCCCTTCTCTTCTCCCCCCCCTCCCGCGTCACCCTGGCCTCTCGTCGTCCGTACACCACCGAAACCGCGTTCGCCATAACGCCGCCGCCGCGGCGAGTATTTTCCTAATGAATTTCCTGGCGACGATTGGCAGTCCGCGGCGGACGGCGCGCGTCGATATGTCGTCGGGAATGAAAGAGAGAGAGGAAGAGAGCTAGGGAGAAAGAGAGATGAAAAAAAATATCCGCGCGAAATTAGCTTCGGCCGTCGTTACCGCCGCCGGCGGCCGCGCCGAACGATCCGCAGCGGTCGCTTTTAATTCGCGGCCGCGATTTTTTATCATAATTGCGCGCGACGCAGGTGGAATTCATTAATTAAAAGATTAATAAAAGACGCGATCGGCGCGGCCGACGCGGGTGCGCGGCTGGTGGTGGAGGCGAAAGGAAGAGGAGGAGAGGGGGGAAGTGCCGACGTTGCCTTGGGCGAAAATAATTTGCGATCGATAATTTTCGCGATGTGGAAAGAGGGGGGGGGGTGAGGGTGAGGGGGTGCGTAAAAGTGATTGCACGCTCGAGGACAACGAGAAGAATCAAACTTGATCTCTCGAACTCTCGACGCCGATGAGCGCGCGAGCGCGCGTTATACCATTACGGAAGATTAATTGCGCCTAGGAGATTAATCACGAATTATTCTTCGATTAGGCAACGCTCGTCCTGGTTAATCTCGGCACGAAAATGCGCCGCTGGCGTGTCGCGCGATAATCAGTTCAATTGAAACAGTCGGGAGATTAATGACCCTCCCCCTCCTCCCCCCTGCCCCGGTTGCATGCACGGGCGCACTTGCCGACGGGTTAACCCGGTCGAATTTCGAGGTCGACTTTTGCGATAGAATCGGTCTAATTGTCGCGACACCGATTTCTCGCGCTGCACAGCAATGTTCCACGGGGAATGAGGTGACGATATATTTCCGACGGAAGAAAAATTTCGTCGTAGCCGTCTTTTTTTAAGCCATATGTGTGCGCGCGCACACACACTT